GAAACGTGAAGCATATTGTGTCTTCACGAATATAGTAATGCAATTCGATACTACCTAAATAAATAAAAAAAAAAAAAAAAAAAAAAAAAAAAACCTAACTTGTTGACACAATTAAATGACAAATGTGATGACAAATGGAAATAGAGGTTATGTTAAATAACATCCGGTCCGCCATATTATTTACCCAAATCGGCCAATTTTTCAGAACGTTTTTTTAGAGGGCTATATCCTATCCAGTAAAATAATACAGATCAGTGGTACTTTCCGGTAAAATTTTGGCCGTTACCGTAATAAATATTATTAAAAAAAATATAATTTAAATACGAAATATTGTATTGGTATCGGAACTGACGGTTGTAAGTGTTACGGTTTCAGAAAAGAGAGGAGCAGTAAAGGAACTTCATTCAGTATTTTCTAATGCTATGCTTTGTCCCTACATACTTTGATTTTCTTTTACTATACGGAGAATGGTCACACTGCGCAGCTTTCTGAGTGCCTTTTAAAAGGAGATAGAAAACTCCGCCATTTTGAACCCTTATTACGTGTTGCCTACATCTTGGCGCAATATTTTTAATAGGTGCGTTTTAATCATCCGCTTCTGCTTCGGAATTGTAGGTTTTCTTGTTTTAATCTGACAGGTTAAAACGACTAAACCGACAATTCCGGAAGCAGAAGCGGATGATTAAAACGCATCTGATATTTTGCTTGCTGCTGTCAGTGTCAGTGAATATTTTTGAAGTCACAGTTTATTGCTAAAGAATCAGTTAGCTCACTCGGACCAGTTGAAAGTTCCAAAATAACATCCACTCCAGGGATACAAATTCAGGATACGCAGAAGACTGCTGTTTTATTATAGGCGGTTGTCATATATTGTATGATCCGAGTTGCACAGTGTATAAACTGAAACATTGAGTTCAAAAGTGCCGACGCAGAGTGATTCTTTAGCTGTAAACTGTGTCACAGGGTTCAAAATGGCCGCGCCCTATATTGGGCGTGTCGGACCTCTCTCGCCTCGTATAGTAATCAAAGTATGTGTTTGTCCCTGTTATAACCATCTGCCCGAGAGATAATTTGCAGACGAGCTTGAGAGTCACGCATGACGTTGACCAATTAGGACGTGAATAGCGCCTGTGGCGCTAACTGTTACGCAGCACCCTGCAGTAACCTGCGGCTATTATAGGAAACGTACAGATAGAAAAATAAATCGAATGTTACTCAATGCCCTACAGTGTGCTGCGGTCGTAATAAGTAAAAGTACAAGTAAAAGAAGATAAAATAGTCCAGAAATGTCTGGAAATGTCATTCCACGTCAAGAAAAAGTCTAGACCCACATACTTTGATTACTATACGAGGCAAGAGAGAGGTCCGACACGCCCAACATAGGGCGCGGCCATTTTGAACCCTGTGACACAGTTTACAGCTAAAGAATCAGATCGCTCACTCTGCGTCGGCACTTTTGATCTCAATGTTTCAGTTCATATACTGTGCAACTCAGATAATACAATATATGACAACCGCCTATAATAAAACAGCAGTCTTCTGCGTATCCTGAATTTGTATCCATGGAGTGGATATTATTTTGGAACTTTCAACTGGTCCGAGTGAGCTAACTGATTCTTTAGCAATAAACTGTGACTTCAAAAATAATATTCACTGACACTGACAGCAGCAAGCAAAATATCAGGTGCGTTTTAATCATCCGCTTCTGCTTCCGGAATTGTCGGTTTAGTCGTTTTAACCTGTCAGATTAAAACAAGAAAACCGACAATTCCGAAGCAGAAGCGGATGATTAAAACGCACCTATTAAAAATATTGCGCCAAGATGTAGGCAACACGTAATAAGGGTTTAAAATGGCGGAGTTTTCTATCTCCTTTTAAAAGGCACTCAGAAAGCTGCGCAGTGCGACCATTCTCCGTATAGTAAAAGAAAATCAAAGTATGTGGTCTAGACAGTTTGAAAAAGTGAAACTAAGCCATATATGCAGTGATCCTGACGTCAGATATAAAGTAAAAGTTTATGGTAAATACTAGATCCACTGAATACGAAAAGCAGGCATGGATACTTCAGGCCCGCCAGCATGGTTTTTGAAGAGGGAAGAGGAGGGAGTAAGGCGAGAAGAGGCACAGGAAAGGCATAGGAAGGAAGAAGAGGAGGAAAAGGAAAGTCGTAGAAAGGAAGAAGAAGGGAAGAGGGAAAGACGAGAAATGGAAAAGGAGGAGAGGCGTAGAAAAGCAGAGGCGGAACTTATAAAGATCTTAGTACAAATTCAAGAAAACTTCAAGCAAGAGACTGGTCAGCTCAAAATTAGAGTAGATCTTTTAGAGCAACAACAAAAGCATTTAAAAACTAATTTAGAACAGCAACAAGAGCATTTAAAAACTAATTTAGAACAACAATGAGATAATTTAAAACAACAGGAAGGCCAGAGTAGAGTTCGAAAGGCAAATTAAAACTGAACTAGTTGAGTTAGAAAGAATAATTCGTAGCCTAGCTTCGATAAGCAACAGAGAAGCTGAAAACACTACCTTGTCCTCATCTGTAATCGAACCAAGCCATATTGAACACCCAATTTCACAAATCCAGACTAGCAAGATCATTAAGCCACCCACGTTTGACGGTCAGACAACATGGGAAACGTATCGCCTCCAATTTGAAGCTGCAGCTAGAGCAACTGGCTGGCCTGAAATGGAGATGGCGGCTGCATTGATAGTGTCGCTGCGAGGACTAGCAGCAACCATGTTACAGTTACTTCCTCAAGAAGAACCCAGTTATTCATCACTCGTCCAAGCTTTGAAGACAAGATATGGCCAGCAGCATTTAAAACGGGTATTTCAAAGCCAGCTGTTTTATTATAGGCGGTTGTCATATATTGTATTATCCGTGTTGCGCAGTATATAAACTGGAACATTGAGATCAAAAGTGCCGACGCAAAGTGAGCGATCTGATTCTTTAGCTATAAACTGTGTCATAGGAATCAAAATGGCCGCGTCCTATGTTGCGCGTGTCGGACCTCTCTCTTGCCCCGTATAGTAATCAAAGTATGTGGTTTGAGAAGGTTCGAGAAAGTGAAAGCAAGCTATATATGCAGTGATCCTGACATCAGTGGGGCAGTTTTATGATAGTTAGTTAAAGTTGAATTGAGTTATTGTAAAAGTTGAATTGAAATAAATTGTGATACCAAAAACCTGCGTAACTACGTAATGAAAGTGGTTGCCGCGTATGGAAAACCAATGAGAAATGGATGAGAAGTGGACAAGAAGTAAGTGGAGACTGTGACGTAGTTATTTGTTGGGAAACCTTCTTATCTGCCAAGGCAGTGTCGATTACAGAGACGTTCCCAGGAATAATAAAAAAATTAAGAATGAAAGCTTAGTGTATATTTGACGCAATAATGAGCGCAGCGACGAATGCAACTTGTTAATTGTAATTTAACAATAGGTAATTTTTGATCGAATAATTAAGAAACTGGATCATCAAAATTGTGCTTTTGACATAGTACTCAATATTTTTTTACGGTATTTTTGAATTTCATGAACTCTCTGTTGGAGAAATAAGTAGTAAAGTTTCAAAATTATATAAAGTTTATTCACAAGATATTTCAGTCGATCTAGAAAGAGTATTTGGCCCTAGAATATAAAGAAAGGTGTAAATTACGATATTTTTAACTGGATTAGAGGGCGAAATAGTACGTTTTAAAAGGGTGTTAGCTATATTTGTAAATCCGTCCCAGTTTGCTACTACCCTATAATATGGGGGGCATTGATTTTTTATTTTACTTTTTCGTTAAAAAAAGCTGAGCACATTTGAGATCATGTATAATATTTCAAACAGAAGAACCTTCAAGATTTGGAACACAGTCAGGGACAGTGTAGCACTTCAAAGAGATATCAATAATGTTTATTTATGGAGTACTCATAATAAATTATATTTTAACATACATAAATGCTTTGTCATGACAATCTCTCGCAAGAAAGAGCCAATTATTTTTGACTACACAATGGACACTGATCTATTAAACAGAGTCTCAGAAATAAAAGATCTTGGCGTAACCTATAATAATCAATTATCTTTTAGTCCTCATATAGAAAAAATCATTAAAAGCGCAAATAAAATGCTTGGTTTCATTACTAGGCAAACATCCTCATTCTCGAACTTATCTTCAATCAAAACTCTTTACAACACTCTTGTTTTACCTAAATTAGATTTTGCTTCTATAATTTGGGTACAAGAACCACAAATATATCTTGACAATCTGGAAAAAATTCAAAATAAGTTTCTTCGGTATCTATACTACAAAAAACATCACCGTTGGCCCGATTACAATCATGTAAGAACACAAATGCTAAGAACAGAATTCCAAATAACGTCTCTAGTCGTTAGACGTAAGCAAGCTATGATGAAGTTTCTGTTTGGTTTGATGAATAATCAAAATACATCAAATAATTTATTAGCATCTATACCTTTCAATGTTCCCTCCAAAACGCACGCGCTCCACTCTTTTGTTTAACTTAAAAATATTGACGCGCTGCTCTCCACTTTACTCTATTCTCTCCTTAGCTAATAATGTTAATGTTATGCATACTATAGATTGGAATATGTCATTTAATCAGTATTGGAAAGTTGTATTAAATTATTTTAAAAATTATGGGATTTAAACTATCATAATTATTAACAATCAACATTGGGTTGATCATTATTTCACAGAACTTGGTGTAGAATTTGTCAACTTCGCCGTTCATATTATATTATATTTTAGTTTAGTTACTTGTCGTGTAATAATATTAATTTAATTATTGTAACAGTTTTAGCAATAATATCCATGTAATAAGGCTAAAAGCCTGTTTGGGTTGTGAAATAAATAAATAAATAAATAAATAAATAAATAATTTCTAGAACTTATAAAACCATCTTTCAAAATTTAGTTCCGAGGAAAGATTGTTAATCATCTGAACATTAAAATATTTTTTCTAAAGTTTTTATTTATTATATGAATACTTACAGTCACTTTCCGTTATTTTAAATAATGCTTTTTTATTGGAAAATTTGTGGTTATTTTCTTCCATGGTCAGTGCATATCCATGATCAGTTTTTTTGATATCTACTTCATCATCAACAGTCTCAATATTAACTGAACAATGGACTCCTGAAAATGTAAAATTTTATATTTACCTAGTAAAGTAATATCTGATATACCTACGAAGTTAAGCAAAATTTAGGGAATATCAGATTTCTGGTTTTATTGGAAAAGTAACAAAACATAATAAAAAATAAAAATAATATACAATAATTTAATGTGTAAAGAATGGTGTTATATGTCAGTGCGCCAAAGTTTGGAGAAATTTTTGGAGGTTAGTCGACAAGGGGATTTTTTTCAGTGGTGGGCATATATTGCAATGGCATATATGGTACCTCTTTTAGGATTCTTCACACATTCTTGGCATTAAATTATTGTCTATTATTTCGGTACTTAATTATACGTAAGAAAAATGTCATGTGCTCCTCGGCATGTAAGGCAAGGCGCAAATTGGGACACGTACAGCACGTGTGAGGTGACGTGATACGAGAGGCACGACTCGTACGTGCTACACGTGCTGCGTGGTAATCCGCGGTTTTAAATAGGAAAAGGCGTAATTTGGATTTGATTGTCAGTTCGCGACTAGCGGGCATCAAATGTCTAACATTTTTTACAAATAAACGAAACAATATCTGACATTATTGAACTTAAGTTCTGAATCAGAATCGAATGATACTGAGGAGGAAATGTTCCTTGATGAACAAGAAATTTAAATCACTTAATAAATTTATTTTATCGAAGACTTGCAGTTTTCTTGAGGTAAGTAACAAAGATATATTTTATTTTTATTACAATCTGTTCCTCAAATTCGGTCACATAGTTTCGCAAAGAGGAAATGCCAGGTTGATCTGTGAAATCTTGCAGGTTTTCATGTTGTTGTGTTTGAGGATGGTGGATTGGCGTCTGGCTTTGAAAATCTGACCAATTATGAGGCGATGGATATGGAGTACTTACAGCTGAATAATGAGAAGAAGTCAGTGATGAAGTTGGTCGGCTTGTGATGTTCATGATTTCTCCTTCCTCTGTTGACACAGCCTCACTCTAGGCTGGTAATTATTGGGCATTTTTTTGTTAGTTCGTACTTAGAAAGAAAAAATTATATAGAGGGTCGTATGTAGAATTGTCCTGTGATAACAATTGTTTTCTTTCTTCTGCCCGTTGTTTTGCTCTTTCACCCCTCTGCTGTAAAGACCGCTTTATTAAACTTTGCATATTATGGTCCTGTTTTCTTTTAACCCCAAGGGCTAAGATAGTAGTAGGTAATGCACTTGCACGTTTCGTTATTATCCTACTGGATTCATCCGCAGTATTGGATTGTTGAGGCCCCTCACATTCATGTAAATTATCCTCTTGAACTTACTCGAAATGATTGCTTACTGCTAGAGTAGATTGAGGCTGTGAATCGTCATCGCTATCGTTTACGTTTCCTTCACAAGATCGAGTTGACATGAAAACTTCCAAAAACAACATCTGTTGCTAAAACCTCGATGACTTGATATTTTCGGGAGCAGCTTCACTTTTCATACATCTCAGTTGCCTCATACAACTCAGCTACTACATATACAGGGAAGCAGGGCGAGAACTTCATCAGCTGCTTTTAGAGTGAGGGAGCATTTAACTGTATATTTTAATAATTGGGAAGCAGTTTCGTGGGAACATCAATCCGTTATGCTTAGAAAATATTGACAATACAGTACTCTTCATTTGTATATTTTTAGGTTATGTTGTAGTGTTAGAGAGTACAAAAAAAACTAATTTTATCACAAAATAAAATTATTTGCAAAACAATATATTATGAAATATATGAGATGTTTCATCCCCTTGGGGGAGGATTTGAAATTAAATATTTAGTAAGACAGTAGCCATAAACTTCGAAATATGTTTTGTACTTACCATCTATTAAATTTAAATAATTTGCAATATCACGCCAAATCCGATTCTTCAGTTTTGTCTTCATATAATTAGCATTTTTTATCGCAAAGCTCTCTGTGTTCCCTTACCGCCTCTATTAACTTTTCTTCTGTCATTTTTTCGTAAAAAAAAACAAGTCACCCATACGCGTGGCACGGGAAACTGTGTCTGAACTACTCCGTGACACGTCTGTGAGCCGACGCGTGTCGTGCCAGGTCGCTCTGCGTCGTTAATTTTCGCCAATGTATTCAATCCTGTAGTTTACAACGTGCTGTGCTGCGTCACCTAACACGTGCTATACGAAGTGCCGTAGCCACTGGGGGATTTTGGGGGGTCAGAACCCCCCCCCCCCATGGAGGGTCCTCGTGTCACCATTTTTGCTATAGTATTGGCGCTGATCGCTATTGAATATTTAAAGGAACCCCCCCCCATAGTTCTCAAAAACCCCTCCTATGAAAAATGGCTGGCTACACCACTGGCTATACGTGTCCCAATTTGCGCCTTGCCAAGTGTGTAATTTACAGGTCTCTAACACTTTCATAAATAAATAAAAATGGTAATCTTAAAACTAACACCCCAAAGGTGAAAACATACCAAAAAAATATTTAAAAATATTTCCCAGTCAGAGATCGAACCGCGATCCTCGAGTTTACTTCTTGCTACCTTAGCAATAATTAGAATACCGGAGATTATAGCTACAAGTACCGAACTGGCAATTTGAAAATATTATATTCTGAATCTAGTCAGCACACATCCTTCCACTTAGCAACCTAACTCTCTCAATTATCTTTTAGCCACTATGCAGCATCGGTATAAAAGACGCCCAGCACTAATTGTACTAAAATAAATCCTAAGATCATTATTTCTTCGTCTGTTTTTTCTGTATGGTAAATAGGCCAGTCAGTAAAGACCATCCTATTTTAAACATTTCACATTAATCACAAAAGTTTTCAAACTTTGCAATAATAATCGGCTAGTTTAAATAACACTAAGTTTAAATTTTCAAACATTTCCAAGGTCTGGAACTAGTTAATTTATACCAAAATGGCGCTTTTGTTTATAATGTTGAGAAAAAAATTGCAAAAGTGCTGCAAACTTGAAGTAATATATATATTGTATTATTTTCAACATTATATCAGATTTGCAACTTTTTTTGATTGTATCATAGACAAAAAAATTGCAAAAGTGCAGCAAACCGATGACATCATTCGTACAAGTTTTTGGAACAGCTATTCCAATTTGCAACCTTTTATTTTGCACGGAAATATATATTTTTTTAAATATTAAAATAATTTTTAAATTTTAATGTTAATATTATTTTTCTTAACAATCTAGTAAATTTGCATCCTCGGACAAGGTTTATAACCTTGAAAAATTAATAAAAATCAACAATTCACACATTTTGCAGTTGCCAAAAATTTGAATAGTATTGCAAATTTTACAAAACGATTTAAATACCTTCCTATAAATAAATGCAAATTTGCAACGCAAAGATTGTTATTTGACTATGACCAATTTTGCATTGCGAAATTAATAGAAAAGTGTCTAGGGAAATAAAAAAAAATCATAAGCAATAGGAATTTGCAACCTCATACTTATCAAGCAAAATATTTAAATAATTGTTTGTTTTCGTTTTTTATCGAGTTTACACAGAATATTTATATATTAAAGAGAAAACATTCAATATCGTAAATCGAGTCAAGAATAAGAAATTAACCCAATACCGTTGTAAATATGCCAGTTAGATAATACCTACGGGTTTGTTTTGGGATATATCGAACCGTCGCGCGTCGGCGTCGCGTCGACGTTGGTCGATTTTAGTTTTAAAATAAAATTTATTTTTCAGGAAAATGTCGCTATGTTATAACTACCAATTGAAATGGACGAGTGTAATACACAGATTCGTGAAAAAAACAAAAAAACCTGAGTGGATTTGAGTGAAATATTTTTATGAAAACGGAAAATCAAATTAGTCGTTATAAAAGTGTACAACTCGAACGGATAAGTTTTGTTCCCGAAGTAATGGATTCGGAGCACCATTAGAAACTTACTTTGATTGCCTGAATGACGACACATTTTCCGATAACGAATACCAAGATCCAGACTTCCCACATATCCAATTTTAAAAATCAATGAATTAAGAAGAAATTTGTATTGAGAACCTATGTTTTAAACAGTCCTGGACTATCCGGTTGCAGAAACCAAAGCTCTCCTAATTTAAATCTTGTTTTTTTGTTTTTGTATATTAATTTCATTTATGTTTTGATTCGAGGTTTTTTTTTAATATCAGAAACAAATATCTGTACATAGTTCTGTCTAGAGTAACAGCCCTGATATTTGACTAAATACTAATTTTTTTACCAATATATTTCTGATAACCGATAAATGCAAATTAAGAAAAGTTTCTTACTAAAATTTCTGTTCGTTAACATATACGTTTATATATAACAATAATATAACAACTATACAAGGTATTTTTTTAGTTTAACCTCGAAAACACCTGTTAGGGTCGATGCTCACGAACATTTTTTAGCAGTTGCGTTAACGTCACGTAGATGTTTACATATCTTGTTTACAGTTTGCGAGGAAGAAGAGGAAATATTGGGTATATCCATACTTAGGTTCCCGTTTACTAAAGGTTAAAAGGTGCTATCATATTAACCTTTTTGACTCAAGAAATAATGATGAATATATTTTTTAAATTATGTTGGTATGATTATATGCATATTAATGAACTGAATTTAATGGTTAAATAACGCGACTGCAACAAACGTTTGCGAACACTGGCCCTTAAAATGCGGATGTTACTCGGGATGTTATTTCATCTTGTAAATCTGAACCATTTATCACGATATCTCTATTTAATATGTTAAAATACTCGATAGGCATTTCTTACTAAAGTTATGTTAAGGAGGTCCGTTCGCCACCAATGTTAAATAAAAAATATTAGATTATGACTAAAATTAATTTTTTTCTAATAGTAGATGTCCTTATTTATCTAATAGTGAACTTTTAACTATACCTTACCGTGCAAATTTTTGAGAATTTTTTTTTTTAAAATGTGTGTGTTTGTACAGTGTCTTATGAGAAAATAAGACTTCAACAACAATTTTCGAATTATAATTAATTTTACTATTATTTATTGATTAGATGGAGTAGAAAAAAACTAAAAATAAGGTTTTTGAAATATTTAGGTTTTGTTTTTTACAATAAAATATATAGGTTATCGTGGAATTTTTTAATATTAATTTCTCAATAAGTTCCACGGTTTACTATATTTTATTATATTTTATTATATAAAACAAAATCTAAATATTTCAAAAACCTTATTTTTAGTTTTTTTCTACTCCATCTAATCAATAAATAATAGTATAATTCGAGAATTGTTGTTGAGGACTTACTTTCTCGAGAGGCACTGTACAAATACATTAAAAAAAATTCTCAAAAATTTGCAAGATAAGGTATAGTTAAAAGTTCAGTATTAGATAAATAAGGACTTCAACTATTAGAAAAAAATTAATTTTAGTCATAATCTAATAACTTTTTTTTTAACATTTGAAGCGAGAGGTGTGGCGAAAGGACCTCCTTAAGAAATATTTTTTTTAAACTCCGATTGCATGATGAATCATTTATAAAAGTATTTAAAATACCTATGTCGTTGAGACATAAATATATTTGGTCCATCTATTTTGGTATGGTGGAACTACCCCTTTTCCAGATAAAATTTTGCAAGATCGAACTTTTCGTTAAACCTTAGGGACATTTATCTGACCGTGCAGGACGTATTTAAAAATATATCTATAGATTTTGGGTTTTTGTTAGTTGTAAGAAATCCAATTTTCAAGGTCATGCATGCAATCGTTAAAATAATGATTAATATTATCTTATTCTCGGAATTAGTTTTATATTTATGCCCCACCTTCAGTTATAACTTTTATATATCCGGACTTCTGATACCCCGCATGTATCTTTGTATTGTACATTTTTCCTTTAGTTTCTATATATAAAGATTTTTAAAGATAAAACTGAATTAAATCGCCATGGTGCGAATTCTTGTTTTTGTTAATTTTTCAAGGTTCCGGACCTTGTCTGAAGTTGCAAATTTACTAGATTTTTAAGAAAAATAATATTTACATTTGCAATTAATTTTCAAAACTTTTGAATTTTTTTTGAAAAAATTAGAGGAAAATAAAAAATTATTTTATTTTTACAAAAAAAAATATTTCCGTGCAAAATAAAAGGTTGAAAATTGGAATAGCTGTTCCAAAAACTTGTATGAGTTATGTCATCGGTTTGCAGCACTTTTGCAATTGTTTTGTCTATGATATAAACAAAAACACGATTTTACAAAAAAAAATCATGTTCCGGACTTTTAAAAATGTTGCAAATCTGATATAATGTTGAAAATAATACAGTATATATTGCCTCAAGTTTGCAACACTTTTGCATTTTTTTTTTTAAGTTATAATAAATTTTAATTTATTGGAATTATTATGTTCTGAAGTTGTAAAATTAAATTTACAATTATTTCAATTCAATAAATATTCCAAAAAAGTTTGAAAACTGTTGTAATCAATGTATATTGATTATCTCTAATGACTGGCCTAAAACACCGTAAACGTAAGGTATTTTTAGGATGTAAGTTACATGCCACAATCTGTTGAATGCCTTGCTGACATCCAACAATATGGCTCTTGGCTCCTGTTGACTGTTTCAAGTTGAATATCTGGGTAATGTGTTATACTAACCTTAGGACTTTCTTGAAATATAATTTTTTTTTAACACCTTTTAGGGAAAAGAGTATGTATGTCTAACTTGTCTAAAAAATCTTATTTAAAACACTCACCTGAAAAAATTAGCATCCATATGATAATAATGTTTAGTTTGTGAATATCCATAACTGAAAAAAAAAAAAAAATACTAATAGTAGATTAGTCTTGCACGAGTGATAGGTCCTTCGCGGATTTTTTTACCGCCTTCAGGATAATATAAGATCCAACTTTATCAAAAATACAACATCCAAAATTCTAAATATGTAAATATTCGAATACAGTAATGATGAAATAATTTAAAGCCTTTTGTGGTATTAGCCAAAGGAGTAATTATTTTTTAGAGAAAAATGGTCGCTCGGTGTTTTATTACAAGGTTTTTGAGTATTTCTTATGTTTCCTTTCCTATCTGTATACAGATAAGGAAAGTATAGGAATTATGATTTTTTTCTACCTCGAGTTTTCGACGGATTTTTACGTTTTGAAGTCCCCTGAATCCGTTTTGACTATTTTTGCGATGATATTTGTGTGTGTGTGTGTGTGTGTGTGTGTGTGTGTGTGTGTGTGTGTGTGTGCGTGTGTGCGTGTGTGCGTGTGTGCGTGTGTGCGTGTGTGCGTGTGTACGTGTGTGCGTGTGTACGTGTGTGCCTGTGTGCGTGTGTGCGTGTGTGCGTGTATGCGTGTGTGCGTGTGTGCGTGTGTGCGTGTGTGCGTGTGTGCGGGTATACGTGTGTGCGTGTGTGCGTGTGTGCGTGTGTGCGTGTGTGCGTGTGTGCGTGTGTGCGTGCGTGTGTGCGTGTGTGTGCGTGTGTGCGTGTATGTGTGTGTGTGTGTATGTGTGTGTGTGTGTGTGTATCCACGATAACTCATGAACGGATACAAAGAAAAACACTAAATTTTAAACATAAGCCTTATTCCGGCCTGTGGTAAACTGATTAGATTTTGGGCAGAGTCGGAACATCTAGGGGGTACTTTATAAAAAGTAATTTTTATATTTTATAGAATATATCTGTTATTTACATTTTGAGAAAAAAATATTTAAATAATAGTTACTTATTATTATTCTCTGTAAGTTTTGTCTTGTATAAAACTTTCCTAAAATGGTCCGTATTCGAGAAATTACACAAAATGTAAAAAAATCGAATTTTCAAGAAAATTGTTTAAATAAAAGTTGTTTCTGATATAATTCTCTATAATTCTTATTCCATACATAATTTCTCTAAAATGGACCGTAATGGAAAAATTGGAGGAAAAGTGTAAAATTTAAACTTTTTAGTATTTTTGTTTTGTTTTTAATGAATGTAATATAGGGTGTTTAAATTAAAGTGTAACAGTTAAATACCGCCTTTTATAAAAAAGTTTTAGACGAAAGTTTTATATTTTTTTGGGGTACAAATTTTGGCTAAAATCTTTTTTTATAGCTAACCATAATATGGTTAACTTTTTTCGCGCAGCAAAATTTTCAAGTAGGTGTTACTCAATAAGTAAAAGCCCAATAAAAGAAATTTTTTCTTTAAAAGTTTCTTATTTTTTGATAAACTTTAAGATAACGTAAAAAAATGGGGTTCCGATTTGAAATAAAAAAAAGTCCATCTCGATATGGCCATATTATGGTCAGCTATAAAAAAATGAATTTCGCTAAAATATTTCCCTCAAAAAAACTATAAAACTTTTGTCTGAAACTTTTTTTTATAAAATGTAAATTTTCGGCGGTATTTAACTGTAACACTTTAATTTGATCACCCTTTAGAAAAATGTTAGATGTATGTGGAAAATGTATATATTAAGTTTGTCCTCTAAACATTTACAGAGGTGCTACAATAGGTTGTACAACCGGAAAAAGCCTGTAATAACTAGAAAGGAAAGTCATGTGTTAGACACATCAGATTTTTTTTCTGTAATAATACATATCAAAGCAAGGAACCAAAATATTCGTACTGTTAGTACTTCCGAAGACAATCTCAATGCTTGAATAAAACAAAAAATTAGGTTTTATTGCAAATGCAGTCCATGATTCTGGACCATTGACAAGCATAAAAAAAACAAAAATTTACTATCACAACTATTTTTTTTTACTTATAGTAGGAACATATTTAAAAAGTCGTTAGAGAAAATGCAAATATTATAAAAGCGCAAGTTTAAAACTTATAAATAATATTAATTATATCAAAAGTAATGAGAAGTTTGATTTTTCCTTAGTAGAGGCGAAAAATCTTGCTGCTGCGACCTTCTAAGGCCTCAAATGAATAGTTAGGACGAGCCGACATATTTACAGAGATAGAGGGATTTATGATAGCGATTCAAGGCTAAGTTGTTGCCTCCAAAAACTACCCTTAGTACATAATAAAGGCTTGAGTGGAAAATGATTTATGCAGAAAATGTCAACAACAATCCGAGACCATCCAATACATAGCAAGCACTTGCCTAACACTAGTACCAAGTGAATATCTCTCGAGACACAATCAGGTAGCTAAGATTGTCCATCAAAGCCTGGTGAGCTTATATGGCCTCCTAAGCGAAGAGATACCATATTACAAGTACGAGCCTAGTCCTGTCTTGGAAAACTCTGCACACAAGTTGTACTGGGCTAGGCCAGTACTAACAGACTACTATAGTCCACAATAGGCCAGACATCATTATAGTTGATAAATCAAGAAAAACAGTTTTGCTGATTGACATAGGAATCCCAAATAGTCACAATATCTTGACCTACTACGCTGAGAAGGAAGCAAAAGTGGCACCAGGAGAATGTTTTTGTAGTTCCGTTAATTATATCTTTGACCGGTGTAGTACCAAATTAACTCATTAACAATTTGAGGATGCTGGAAATTGCCAACAAAATAGCAGCTATCTAGAAGGCAGTGATATATCCACTACCTCTATTGTACGCACATTCTTAAACGTTTCTGTATAAATAAAATGCAGGAATGTTGCCCTGACTGACCTTGAATTTTTCCCACCTATCCTAGAGATAGTGATACCAAAACATAATAATAAATAATAATAATAATAATAATAATAATAATAATAATAATAATAATAATAATAATAATAATAATAATAATAATAATAATAATAATAATAATAATAATAATAATAATAATAATAATAATAATAATAATAATAATAATAATAATAATAATAATAATAATAATAATAATAATAATAATAATAATAATAATAATAATAATAATAATAATAATAATAATAATAATAATACGACTGCTACCGAACAATAGCTCGGATGGTTTTAAAGAAAAGGTCAGGAAAATAACACGGCGAATCCAGCAAATCGCCAACAAAATTAACCTGGCTAGGCAGCAGGCATCACGTATACAGAGTGTGTTGGAATTTCTTTCTACCAATAGACCTTTTACGGAAAAGATTAGAAAAACTGCTAAAAAACTTCGACAGCAACATCACACTCTTAACAGGGCGGTGCTTCTGACTGTAAAACAGCGCTTCCTGGACCGTATACGCTCTTTGGGTGTCATTAAAAACAGTTTAAAGAAGAGGGCTGCAGGAATAAGAGACAACAATATATTCCTGAATAAACCTTCTAGTCTATTTCAAGAGCCTGCACCTAAAGTAGATAATCCGCCGCCAGTCTTACAGGTTGAAAACTTCTGGAAGGAAATCTATGAGACTGCAAGACCATTAAACGCAGCCACTCCCGCACTGACAAACTTTACAACTTATTGTCTCAACATGCACATCCAGTGGCATGAAAGTACGCAAGTCTCAACGGAGGAGGTGAAAAAAGCCCTTGAAGGTGTCAGGAACTACTCTGCACCTGGCCTAGATGGGATCAATAACTTCTGGTGGAAGAAATTCTCCAGTACCCACCACCATCTAGCTAGGATATTTAATTCTTGGATTAATGAGGGCACACCAATTCCAGAATGGTTTGTTAAAGGACGAACAACCCTAATACCGAAAAAGGGCGATTTAAATGACCCCAAAAACTATAGACCGATCACTTGCCTCAATACTTGTTATAAAATTTTTACACGGATTTTGTATTCCCGAATATTGAGCGCAATTGAACCAGTCATAAACGATATTGGAGAGCAGCGTGGGGGAAAGAAGAAACTTGAAGGATGCAAAGAGAATTTGTTGATAGACAGATGTATTACACAGGACTCGATCCAGTATAAACGAAATTTATCAATGGCTTGGATCGACTATAAAAAAGCCTTTGACACAACATCTCATGAACTTCTAATACATCTGTTGAGAATACTTAAAGTTCCTCACTCACTAATTCAGTGCATCGAACACCTGATGCCGCTCTGGAGAACCAAATTTTCCATAAGATCTGGAAATGAAAAAATTACCACAGAGCCTATACATTTTAAAAGAGGGGTATTTCAAGGAGATTCACTGAGTCCTTTACTATTCTGCATTTCGCTGCTTCCTATTTCGGTATCCCTTCGCAAGACGCGCGGCTATTGCTGTGGACCACCTGGAAACCGAAGGCATAAAGTGACCCACCTCTTCTATATGGATGATCTAAAGCTTTACGCTACAAGCCAGCGAGACCTACAGCAATCTCTAAAGGTGGTTCAAGAATATACTAGAGACATAGGTATGGAGTTTGGTCTAGATAAATGTGCAATTTTAACCTTAGAGAAAGGCCGTTATGGAAACAATCCAGAAAATGAACAACTCGCTGTTGGAGCAATTTTACGCCACCTCGAAGCAGGTGAGGCATATCGATACCTTGGTGTCGATCAAAATCGTACGCAAGACACAGAAACGATTAAGACAACGCTTCGAAGCAAGTATAGGCAGCGCCTCCGACAAATATGGAAATCAGAGCTCTCCGGAATAAATAAGGTTACTGCCACTAATACACTTGCTGTACCAGTTCTTCTTTACTCCTTCGGAGTGTTGAAGTGGAGGCGTGACGAGTTGCGCGAACTGGACGTGAGCACACGAAAGATGATGCATCTCAATCGCAGCATTCATCCACGCTCGTCGGTTTCCCGAATTTACCTCCCACGTGATCAGGGTGGAAGAGGCCTTCTAAACTTGGAGTGTCTGCACGACAGGCTGGTACTAAGAATGGCCTGCAAAATCATCAATAGTACGGATCCACTATTAAAACTTATAAAAGATCACGAAGCAG